TTATTCAGAAAATATTAACTAAGAAAATTTATTGTAAGATTTTTTTTTCTTCAATAATTTTGGGTTTGGGCAGCGAAGTATATATAAGACATTTAGCAGCGATTTTGCTTCGAATTTGCATCGAATTATTTTGCGTCGAATTTACTTCGTATTAGCGTCGGTTTTATAAAAGTAGGTGAACCCATTAAAAACGTGCGACCTACCTACCCAGTTCGACGGAATATTCGACGCTAGAACCGACGCTAAATTGGCGACGATTTAGCGTCGAATTGATGTTCTAGATGCTAAATCGATGTTAATTCGATGCAATTTAGCGTCGCTATTTTTGGTCTCAATTTTGCGTCGAATGGTTTGACCGACACAAAAACGACGCAAAATCGTCGCTAATTTTGCGTCGACACTAATCCGACGCTAAAACTGTTTTTTCTTGTAGTGACTTGTCGTCAATAATTATCATACCGGTACCTCCAAGTCTCTTAACCACTTCGCTTTTCTGTTTAATATTTTAGCGCTTTTAGATAATTGTCACGCACAACAATCTTTCCCTTAACGATGGTTTTGTTCATCGTGTCAGGCACACAGTTTCTGTAGGGTTTGCATTTGGTGTTGTCTTGTTAGTATAAAGCAAAGGTATTGTATATATAGTTAAGAGGCAACTGTTACCTAGCAGCTTCCTCGTTAGCATCAAATCTTTTGGCTGATCGTGCGTGTATAAGTTGGTTAGCCTGGATTTTATCAATGTTGGCGATATTTATTCTAACCCCCTGCAATATAAATGAAGATTTTAAGTATAATAGGGTGGCTAATAAATGGAGATTTGTTGAGTTCTCAACTTTTCGTCTTACCTCGATTAATCTGCTTTTCTTTCCTCCCAGAAGAATTTTGGACTCAAAAGCCGCGGTCAATAGTGCTGGCACCAACAGTGACCATCCATGGAACAGCATTAACCACAGATTGACTAGTAGGGCCATAATTTCCTGCAGAGCAATCAACAGTGATCCATCTTTCCACTGCGTGAAATGAACCGATGGAAAGTGGATTTTCAAGTAAATTGTCTAGCCATTGTCCCATCGATATCGATATAACATCAACTCCATCTGCGATCGCATCATCAAATGCAGCCAGTAAGCCTGAGCTACGGCAGCCCAGGTGTGAGCACGCTCTGTACATAGCTATTCTCGAATTTGGTGAACCTCCTCTCATGATTCCACTTGCTAGACCATAGTAGGATGTATCAGAGATTATTTGCCCTGCTGCTATTGATGCCACATGTGTCCCGTGCCCAAGAAAGTCTCCTGGTGTCTCATAATCAGGGTCTAAGAGGAATGACGAATTGTAATACCTTGCTCCTATTATTTTCCTGTTACGAAACTTTAAATGTAAGCACAAGGTGGTGGATTCAATTATACATGTCATCTTTACATGTGGTCTACTTTCCTCCAGGCTCTGCATATCTATTGCAACGGAAAGAATCAGGTTGCGTATTCTTCCCTCTCATGCAAGTTCCCTTCCATTTGGCTGGGACTGGAGGCATTTGCTTGTCGTCTAAGCTCTGTTACTCGGGTCAGATTCCTGTTTTCTCCATCATAATATGCTGCATTAAGTATTTGTTTTACTGGAAGTAGACAAAAAGTGCACATATATATTGTTCACCTGAATCAATGAAGCCGATAATGATGTCGCCTACTGCCACATCTAATTCTGGTTGAGAGTTTATCTCAGTGGAGTAAGTGTCTCTTTGATAACTTTCTTGCACCAAGAAGTCCCATGAGCGAGTTGTGTGGAGTTGTAACATCTGATCAGGAAAGATAGATATTACTCCTGGTTGCTTGGCCATCATGCGTGCTTCATCTTCTGATAAGCGTGTTGCGAATCCAGAGAATCCATGTTTGTATCGGTGCATAGGTGTTTTGCCGCTCCTAATGCAAGTAAGCCCTTAACTTTAAGGCTATGCCATCCTAAGGTGATGCTAAATGGAAAGATCTTATCAACGTCCAGAGATACTGTCTAAATATTTGAAAAACATGAGTCATGGTTAGAAACTAAATAGATCTGGATTTAGTTATCATCGCTTTAACATTGAGCTTAGAAGCTCAACGTGGTCATTGCCAATTAAGCCAGCTAAGGATACTGCTCCCATGTATATGATATAATCTCCTGACCTGCTTGTCTCAGATTCACAGTTTTGGATCACAGACAGAAGAAGAAACACAAAGAAGAAGTTCGCCATAGGTGAAGTTCAAGAAATAAAACAATAATACTATCCCGGTTGCTTCCAACTCTTTACGTTACCACATAAATATCCTATGAGTATATCGTAATAGCCTCTATCACAATTCGGTATGATTTCAGAAGTGTTATCTCAATTTTTAATCCATGCCTATTTTAATGGGATAAATGCAGGTAGTTTTACTTGACACACTCATGCATGCCCTTTGTGTGAAACAAGATTGCATGACTTCAAGGAGACTTTTTATGCATGGTTATTGACAAGGCTGCTAATTGCAACTTAATTCTCGAATTGGCAGGACTAGTGATAAATAATTTGTTGATCTTCGGTTTAATATGCTGTAGATAACACATGAAACTTTTCATTACTATTCTTATGTCACAAAACGTGTCAATTTCTGCCTTTTGATTTAACAGAGAAGTGTTTGGGACTGTTACCTGTTTTATAGTTTGATATACTTGAGTTTTCATCATTTCATTAATCAGTACTTTCATTAACAAGTTAAAAGAGTACTTTGCTCTAAGTTAAGTTTTATTATTCCATATTCATCATACTGCATATTATACCATAACTCAGTTTGTGTTGCTACTCTCGCTACTAATCACAATTGGGCTTCTGACCTTGTGCTTGCTATTAGACCAAGTAAGAGCTCCAAATACATCTTTTTTAAGTGAAGCAGTAGCAGAGACTATCACCTGGTATGTCAACTTCTCACCATCTTTTGTAAATTGGAGTTTTTCTGGCGTCACTTGAATATTAAACCCCGGTGGTGTTTCCACACTGACTGTGTAAACAGCCACACCGTCTCCACCAACATTGGTCACTGTCCTATTCACTGTCTTGTTCTCATTCCCCTTAAATCTAGAGATTCCAATTGACGGGTAATTGATGGTTGAGATCAAGTCTAGTTTGGAATCTGCAGGGCAAGTGAAATTCTCTGGAACTGCTTTTGATATCGCCTTGATTGTGGTTACGTTGTATCCATAGTAACAGAGGAAGTTCAAGTAGTCAATAGCAGTAGTCTCGTAAACTAGTCCTGGTTGCATTGATGATGTTGTGCTTAGCTCTCCTGCTCCAGTGTCATAAGGTGTGGCTACTGCACCAGTTTCTGTTGTTATAAGACCTTTGTCGTTGTTCGTTTGAGTCGCTGCAAAAGGGTTGGTGAAAGAATCATTGTAAACGATACGAAACTGTTTGCATGCCATCATCACAAAATACGCAAATGCAAGGGACCTAACCTGTTGTCATAATTGCTGATTTGATTGCAGATGGACCCCATGTTGGATGCTGTGATTTGATCAGAGATGCAACAGCTGTAACGTGAGGAGCCGCCATGGAAGTTCCTGATATGACGTTAAACTTAGAAGCCGGCTTGCCTTCTAATGATATCTTTGAGTCGTTTCCAGTCCATGCCGCGAGTATTGCGACTCCTGGTGCTGTAATGTCAGGCTGTAGATAGAGGTTAAAAGGTAGATGCTTTAATCAGTCCTTATTTCTCACATTTCCTTTTCTCCAATCAAGAATTTCTTTCATTCATTCCATAGCCTTAGAAGCTTAAGAAGACCACAATTTTTAAGAGACTTTACCTTGAGAATGCTTCTTGTGAGGCTTGAAGGACCTCTAGAAGAGAAATATGCAATAGAAGGCGCGGGTGTGAACTTCTCAACTGTCACAGTGGGAAGAATTGTTGCAACAGGATCTCTGCAACGGAATGTTCCATTCATTAGATTTTTACTGACTAATTACAGTTCATAGAACATTTTGAGATTTCAAGGTTTGCTTGTTTTAAGTACGTGGTGGAGTTGAGATAGGAGAAGATCTCTGCTGCTTCCTTTGAGTCGATTACAGTTGTAGGAAAAGCGCCATAAGCGCTAGCAACTGCTCTTGTTCTATCATCTACAAAGATGCAACCGATACCTCCCTTGCTCTTCACTTCGTCCCTAGCGCTTGATGCATAAGATGATCCATCGACGTTCTCACATAACACAATCTTCCCTTTCACCTTCTCTTGATCTAGAGAACCATAATCACATGTCCTGGAAACCAAAATATTTAATCAAAACGAAAAAAGGTCAGCTTCCTTATCCTTTGTTACTAATTCTCTATTGTATTTTGGATCCGCCGATGTTTTTTCTTTACCTGGCTGATCCTTCTGAAGCATCAGTGTTCTTGGCGGACTTGCCATGAATCAGAGGATACACTGGAGATTTACTAACATTTCCAAAATGTATACCTTCACCCTGAAAATCAATTGGTTCTTATTAGCAAATCTGAACATTCAGTGTTTATGTTTGTTATGTGTATAAATAATACTATCATTTACCTTGATGACTTTATTGCCGCCGAGCACAACATCAGCCTCTAAGTCTCTGTCAATTGTGTTTGCTGCAACAGTCATGATCCAAGGTGCGGTATTAACAACTGAACCGACATCAGGCCCATCATTACCTGCAGAGCAGATCACCAAGATCCCTTGTTCCATCGCATGAAAAGCTCCAATGGCGATAGGATCAGTGTTCAGCTCAATGCGAGCGTATGAAGGAGCTCCAAGAGACAATGATAGAACATCGACTCCATCCGCGATAGCATCATCGAACGCAGCTAAGATAGAAGAGCCAGTGCATCCCCCGGGATTGCATACTTTGTACATAGCGATTCGAGCATTTGGTGAACCTCCCTTTGCAGTCCCGGAAGCTACACCGTAGTAGGAAGCATTCTCCACGACTGATCCAGCTGCAGTGGATGACGTATGAGAGCCGTGACCGATCACGTCCCTTGTGGTATAGTATTCTGCATCATCATCAGGGTTTTTGTAGAATCTTGCTCCAATTATCTTTCTGCATCAAAAAGTAAAACAGGATTGTTTTAGTCTCCAAAAAGAAGTTGGTAACTATATAGCTTGGTTTTTGAAGGTTGTGAAAATTGTAACCTGTTACAGTTAGAAGACTTGAAGTCCTTTGCTTCCATGCATGTTCCTTTCCACCGAGATGGAATTGGACCCATGTCTTTGTCATTGAAGCTCTCTGATTCTGGCCATATCCCTATTTGTTTGTTTTTTTCATTGTATCAAACACACGTTTTTTTTTTATTGTTAACAGACCTTAACACTCTATAATGGATCCAATGAGTGAAAGGCCTTACCTGTGTCGAGAAGGCCGATAATGCTATCATATGAACCATCTGAAGCTGCTGATGAAGGTGGACCCGAATCGATCTTTACTGATGTTTGGTACTTGAGAAAGTCCCATGAATGAGTTGTATGGAGCTGGTAGTTTGGGTCAGGAAAAACCGACACTACTCCTTGTTTCTTGGCTATAACCTTGGCCTCTTCCGCTGTCAAACGAGCTGCGAAGCCAGTGAACCCGTGCTTATACGTGTGGACGAGATCGTTTCCTCTCCTACAACAACAAACCATAAACTTGTCAAAGTCCACAAAACATAACTCTATCCAATTACTAAAAGCAGTCCGTGTAAACAGAGTATAACCTTTTAAACATGGTGTTTATGAGTATTTGAGCTCTATAAGCGTTTGCAGCAGAGGAAGCTGTTCCCATGTAGACAATGTAAACCCCATCACCATTTCTCGACCCAGCTTCGGTTTCTGTCGTAAACGAGATGCATAAAAGATAGAAAAATAATGAGAAAAAGGGTGTGAAGAAGAAGGTAAGGCCTTTCATTACTCTTGTAGTTCTTAGTCACTTGAGGAATTATTCACAGACTACTCAAGAAAAGGGTATTTATAATGGTTGAGAGAACTAGTTGGAAACTAGAGACAGAGCAAAAGGTCATTAATTAATGCTTGAGTTGCTTATCCCACTTTGAAGATTTGGTGGGTTGGTTTCTGAATTGGGCAAAAAGTGGAGATAGAGCAAGGCTAGTGATTATACCACTATCTTCTGTTTGAGTCATTACATCACTTCAACATGTTTTGTTTTTCTTTCCGAGGTTGCAAAGACTTTGAACAAAATTATTACTTTATCTCGTATTTTACACATTGCATGCTTTGCAAAATTCAACTCTAGATAACCCATTTGTTTTAATGGTGAAGAATACTCTCGACCACAATAAAAAAAAAACACAATTTTATAAAAATAAATTACCTTAAAATGTTAAATCAAAGACAAAGTCCACCAATAAAACTCGCAAAGGATTGGTTGAGTAGCCAATAGAGGGAGAGTGTGGTGCATTAGCCAGAAAATGACATAGAAATTCCACTCTTATGGAATCCTCGTAATCCAAAGCATGCTTGAATGTTTGTAGTTAAACTAATGTGTAGTCGAGTTC